AAAAAAAACATCCAAACTAAAACATGGTGATAGAGCCTTRCAAAACTTACCTTTTCAGTTTTCTTTGTGTTACAAGATTGCTCCTTGTTAGCTTTTTTTACCTGATATATAGAACCAACCAATGTTAATAAAAGCGATGCACTATCAGGCATAAAAAGCAAGCTATAGCCAATATCTTTCTATAAGTTAGTACCTTTTCTTTACTTGTATTCTCTTTCCTGGCACAAGACCTCACACTTTGCCCTGTTTCCTAGAGAAAATCAAAATCTTAAGTGGACTGACTACTTTAGATTGTTCAATTTGAGCCCACGGTAATCACGCACACGAAAACAGCTGAACAAAATACAAAATTTTATTGAAGAGGGATATCAGACTACCATAATACTTCTCTTACTTTCCCTTTATATGCACTTGGTTTTCTCATGTGGGACAGCTTGTTTCCTATGAAAGCTTTGCCATGCTTTCTGTTAAGGGTCACCACTCCATGCCCTTTTACCCGATAGCAACCAAATACTATCTCATCACTGTTGAGAATGCTTTGGGCTAGTAGGCAATTTTCTTGTGCCTGCTTTAGAGTGGTGCCTGCAGACACTCGTAATCCCCCTTCACCTTGCCACTACAAAAAGAATAAATTTTAATTAAAATGCACCTTCTTCTGAAACTATTCCATGTACTAGTATTCAGACTTAAACAAAGGTGGAGAAATGAGTGTGTATGTGTGGAGGGAAACAGGGGAACTGTCTCTGTTGTTGGTAGAGTTGGGTTTCATGTGAGGGGAAATGTGGCAGTTTTGAAGAAATTAGGGGAAAGGAGTATTCTTAAATAATGCATGGGGGAGTGGGTGTGCAGGAGTGGTTGAAGAGGGTTTGGATTACATGAGTGTGTGCAGGTATGTCTGTCGGTGTAGAGAGGGGAAGGCTGTGATAAAAATGGCAAGAATAATATAAWAATATATAATAATAACAAYAATAATATAGGAAAAGAAAAAGGAAAAAAATAAAATTTATAAATGAAATAAAAAAAGAACAATTAAATAAAAAGAAATAGATCAAGAAATGTGTGTGTCTAAGTTATCAGTACTGAGGACATGAGCAATTACACTTTAACCAAGGTGGATATAAAGAAAGAAATTACARAAAAAGAAATCACAGTGGGACCACAATGAGAGCTGAATCAAGAACTTCAGGCTGTAACAGCATGTTTCGCTGTGTATTTCAATACTGAGAGTCCATTCTCTCTCATGCAGGTGCTTAAATTTTATTTACCTTTCCTYCTTTAAGAAATTCTTTCACTTTACCAGCAATGAAACTGGTAAAGATGTTAAGTTGTGTGTTTGCATACTGAGCATCCATGCTCACTTTCATAAGTTCAAGAAGCTTCTTCTTTGGGATTTCCGTATGCATTAGATCATCTTCTTCTTGCACAGTTCCACCAGAAATGTTATGTGTTTCTTTGGTGCCAGACGTTTCTTTGGTGCATGGCCCAGGTCAGCATGGTATTCTAAGAAAAACCTGATTTCAATAAAAACTGTTTGCAATTGAAAAATTGGGAAATATATTTTATCCCCCCTCTCACAAACGCTGTTCCTGAAATTCATTTTTATTTCATAGATATTAAACAACAATGTACATTATTTTACCTGTTGAAAGATTATTGATTGCCTTTTTCAATTTCAGAACAATTGAGAGTGGCGCGCAGGTTAATTTTTTGGAAAACACTGGATGTGTCCTCAAGGTCTGTGTTAACAATCCCAGGTCAGAAACTGTTTCAAACTGCAAAGAAGTAGTAGTGTGATATCAAATACAACTGAACAGCAGCAATGTATATTACTTGAAAGCACCCTGGGAAACATAATTAATAATGGTAATTAAACTCAGTAGAGTGCAATTTGGTCTGAAATCAAACGCGCGATTTGTAATTGCAAGTTTGATTTCAGACCAAAATTGCACGACACGAAGTTTAATTACCACTTTATTATATCCATTTTGAAATCTTTTTTGAAAAAGACGTTTTTTCCAGTTAAACCGACATGACTTACAATCTAAAAGCAGTCGATTCAAACATGCTGTCAAGAGAACTTGTTTATATTGATCGAGCAATGATTCTCATCTTGAAAACCAACACTTTCAATCCAAAACTAAAATTAATTTATATAGGACCAAAAGGCATTACATTTATCATATGACCCGTACGGCCCTGCTCGCGCGCTCTAATAAGACCATTGGAAAAAGTCACGTGATGGGGGCCGGACGGGTTGACGTAAGCGGGCCGGAAAAACCCGTCCGGCCCTGCTCGAATCCGCGCGCTTTCTTTTTTTAATTATTTTTATCTTTCGTGAGGGTCATATGATAAAATGCTTATTGACTGAGTTAGGTCGGGCCGTACAGGAAATATTTGGCTCTCGGTCATTTGTACGGACCTCGCTGCGCTCGTTCCGTACGGCATCACCTCGAGCCAAATATTTTCCCGTACGGCCCTCCCACTACGGAGCCCGATTAGTGCCATGCAAATTTCGTGATTGTTTTTACTTTTCTCGACTTTTTTCTCGACTTTTTTCTCGACTTTTTTCTCGACTTTTTTCTCGACTTTTTTCTCGACTTTTTTCTCGACTTTTTTTTCGACTTTTTTCTCGACTTTTTTGACCGCTTAGCAATAGTAGAGCAGGCTCATTCTATGCTGAGAGCATGGACAATATGGCGAGCTCTATTGACAAGGTAATTCTAACATTTTATTTCTTTAGTTATCATCCTATAACTTATTCTCATCGTTTTATAACATTTAACGCAGCTTTCTTATTTTATCTTCAGTTCTATGTTATTATTTATCTTCCTTCACTTATTATATTCAAGTTCTTGTACGAAATTATAAGCTTTAAGTTATGTCTTCTAGTCTCGCACCATCAGTCATTGTGAACATTTCTAGTGCCCTAAAGAAATGTTTAAGCTTATGTTATTGCCTGGTTAATATAGGTATGTGCATATTTACGTGAGAGAGGAGTGGAAGAAGCAGTGATTGAGCGATTTAGATCAGAGAAGGTAAGTTATACTCTGAATATTCGTAAATATGGGTTCCTTATGCACTAGTCAAGGTGAATCAAWGTAAATCGCCATGAAATCGAAACGCTTCAAACGAATAAATAACAACATATTTCATAAAGTACATGACCAAAGTTTACTTTGATATCATTTAATTTTTTTAATGTAATAAGAAACTATACTTTAACTTTTCTGAAGCCGAAAAYCACTCGATAATCTAACGCCACAGGATACCACAGGGATCCCATCCGAACTCAAAACCCGTCAACTCTTCACTTTATCTCCGCCTGCTGGAGTAGCATTGTTTGTTATGTGCTTGTGGGAGGTGTTATTGTTTTTATTGTATAAAATATGATTAATCAATTATTATCATTTATTGTAATCAAATCAAAGTTGCAAGTATGCTCATCCTTTCATTTTTCATATTTTTCAGATGGATATGACTGCAGTTCTAACTGCGACGCAAAACAATTTAGAAGATTTGGGTTTAATAAGAGCAGGTGACCGACTGAGTCTTGTTGCCTTCTGCAAAAATGCAGAAGAGAAAAATGAAAAAGGGATAAGACAGAAGGAAAACCAAACTGAGCGAAAAAAGGCACTACTAGAAGCTTTCCTTTCAAAGAAAAAAAGGAAATCACCAGCAAACATCGATAGTGCTGCAGGTCAAGATAAAAAAAGGAAAAACTAAAAACTAAAAAAATACAACTTGGCTGGAAGCATTTCCGGGAAGAAGAAGAGGCATATGTTCTTGTCCCATTGGTGAAGGGAGGAGGAAGTCGGACGGTTGAGGTTCCTGTCACTATAGATAAATTCAAACTGCAGCAAACTTACAAAGAACTTTTCTTTCCTGATGGTCAGTCAATATAAATTATGGTAAAGATGATGATATGATCTTTGATTTGGCCAACTTTAAAGATGAAAAAGGGTCAGCGAATCTATGATTGTTGGAGATAATGCAGTGCCATTCAATATAAACAACTACATGGAAGTACACAAGATCAAAACAGTAAGATTGTACTTGCGATCTAGAAAAATCTGCATTGATCCAGAAAGTGATAGAGAACTAGAGCATTCAATATTCATGAGCCAAGATGATTTGCCTCAGTTGAGTACCACAACTTCATTTATTGGTAGTTCTGAAGAAAGAAGGGTACTCRTTGAGGAGCAGGATGAGGCTTACAAAATCTCCTTGCATACAGATAAAAAGAAAAAAGCTGATCTACAAAGAAAACTTGATGAGGAAGAGTGGAGAGAAAGACTGCAGAGTGCAAGAAAGGCTAGAGTTCCCCCTGAACCCAATAGCAATTTTGTAACTGTTAGAATCAGACACCCATCACTAGGCCTGCAGTCAAGAAGATTTCCAACCYATACCCTGATGAGTTCTGTTTATGACTGGGCAGGATCATTGAGCTCTCAACCAGAACACTTTGGCCTACATGATCCACTTGSAATTCTGCTATCACCCAGCAGTAAAGTGGATGACAGATGTACCTTGACTATGATAGAGTTTCTGGAGGGAACCCCATCACTATCAATTTCTGATGATGAAATAGAATTTTTGGGGTTTGGAGAAGTAGGAAACTTGAGTRGTTTGAGTGAAGGGTTCGAAGGGCATGATGAAGATAAAATGCAATACTTTGTGTAAGTATTTAGCAAAATTTAGGGAAAGTAAGGAAAGTATATTGCATAAATTTATTTTTGCTTAATTAATTAATTTATTTTCAATGACCCTCAAACTTACGCCAGAATTAGAATTAGTTTGTATAGGTAATAGTATTCTTTCAAAACTGCTAATACTTTTTTGTTTGATACATTGAGCACTGTTTGACATATTTAAATTCTCTTCCTTAGTGCTATCAATTCCAATGAAGAAGAAACCCCTAACCAGGAACAATCRACATCAAGCAGGTAGTTTTCAGTTTTTTAAAACTTGCAGGAAGCACTGTATATAATACACTTAAATGCAAAAATCTATCTATATGTATTTTCATTTTAGATTCATAAGAGTCAGAAGGGTCCAGATCATGTCAGACATGATTGAAGTATTTAAGGATCCAACACTAATGGAATCGCATGTTAAAGTCATCATGGTAAATGCTTATGGCCTAGAAGAAGCTGGGGCAGATGAAAATGGGGTGTTTAGGGATGCACTTTCAGCATTCTGGAGAGACTTTGAAAATTCATGTACCATTGGGGAAGATGAGCGTATTCCAGTTATAAGACATGGATTCCAGGCTCCAGAGTGGGAAGCCATAGCTAGAATCTTGGTAAAAGGATATCAACAACTTAATTTTTTTCCAATTAAGTTGAATAGAGCATTTCTCATTGCAACCCTGTTTGTGGAAGGTGTGCACAGCTGAATGAACTATTTAGCCCATGGCTCTTCTTCTTAATTAACTAATAACATGGTTTTGCAGCTACTGTATGCTTTAAAACAGAAACAAAAAATATATTTGTTTTTACTTTTCTCGACTTTTTTCTCTGCTTTAAAACAGAAACAAAAAATATATGCATTGTATGTTTGGATAGAAAATGTCATTTCCCAAACGTTATAGATCAATATTTGGCTATTAAAAGGGAAATTTCACTAGCAAAGAAAAAAATCGCTCACTGGTATTTGACTATTGACAAGTTTGAAAGCATCGAAAATAGACCACTGATAGACCACTAATAACTGAACAAATCAAACACACTAGTTGATTTGTAGTTTGTTTAAATACTTTAGTGTACTATAGCATTAGCCTCCTCTGCATGCATCTCTCGTCTCCTTTTAGGTATTAACGCCTGCGGAGGAGGCTACTATAGCATTTTAATTGGCCAAGAACTGTTGTGGGCTGGCTGTGGCTCCTGTTTCTCAATCTTAACACTTCCTTCGTGCTTTAATTCATCACCTCTTGCAATATTGCTGTATTRCTAAYCATAGCATGKGAAAAACTGAAYTTGATTTATTAACTTTWGAYTATTTCTAATAGGGTGGAAATATGCTTCTATCATTATATTCAATTCATTTATGTTGGTATTTTAGAGTGAATCAGAAAAAGATCTAGATGGGTCAGAAGAACTCAAGCAAGCTAAAGCAATTCTTGCAGAACCTGTGCTCGAAGACTAAACTGCTTGCACTATGCATTGAATTAACTTTATAAGGGAGTGTGTAGAACAAACATATTGTGTGAAATAAGACACCATTGCACTGCAAATAACATGTTCGTCAAGGAAAGCCAAGAATATTTTTAACTCAAAGAATAACATCTATATGTAATACGTAACAGTTTTGTTTTTGTCAGTTTTCCTTATTTATTAAATTACTTTAAATCAGGAAACTTAGGTACTTTTATTTGGGGTGATGCGTGGTGGTCCGCCGTCACATGGTCCTCCAGGGGAGAGGGGTGGTGGGTCATTTTGAACTTTTTTGGTGTCAATCCTATGCTTGGAGTGCCATGATAGGTGGCACACTAATCTGTTCAAGATCGTTTTGTTATTGCTAAGGGAATTGAGTAGAGAGAGGGAAGGATGGAACAACCTCTCATCGCTGTGGTCTGGGTTCCAGCCGGGCCCGGCTCAGACTGCATCATATGTGAGGTTAGTTTACTGATTTGTTGTTCCCTCTCTTGTTACAAGGGTTTTTTTCAGTTTCTCTGGTTTTCCTCCCTCAGTAAAAAATCGACATGTGAGTTGAGTGTTGTATATTGTAAATATAAAATGTAGCAGTAGTGTGTGTGGAGGGAACCTCAAAGTGTATGGTTTATAAGGGAATGTATGGGAGTTATGATGAAGATGTGACAAATAGTTTCAAGTAATTGGAATAGTACGCGCGCTACGATTGGTCGAAACACATGTTTGATGAGGGTATCAAAACATGCTCGCGTCATCCTTTACAAACATATCAGAATAATACGATATTTTTTCGTTTTTTTGGCGTTTGTTATTTTATAAAACCAGGGGCGGCGGAAGCTGAAGAATTTTTTTGGGAGGGGGGGGGGGGGCACTCCAATATTTCACGGTACCAGAAAATTATGTAATATCAAAATAATAAAAAATGTTAATCATAACCAAATGTTATGCGTTTTTTTTTTTGTGTGTGAGGCATTATATTCTGGGGGGGCCAGGCCCCCCAAAAAGTCTAGTGGGAGGGCTAGTGCCGCCCCTGAAAACAGATCAAATAACAGTTTTCCGTGTTTGATACTCTCATCAAAACACTTGGGATATTGAGAGAACGCTCGAGAAGCTGGAAACCACTCCGCTAACGCAACGTGCTTTCCTTCGCTCTTGTGTTCTCTCAACATCCCGCATGTTTTGATTGGAGTATCAAACGCGGAAACTGTTTTTGACCTGTTAACTCAATTATAGGCGACTTGCACTAAGAGGTCACGTAATCGAATCGGCCATTGTTGTCGGCTGGCATTCTAGACACGAGTGAAAAACGTCTGCGCATGCTCTGAATCCGTAATTAGTCAAAACATAATAATAATAATAATAATAATAATAATAATAATATTTATTTATACACGATAAGTTAAATGCAGCGTAGCTGATGTGGTCGTGTTCTAATCCTAGGTCCTAAGCTATACTAGTCCTCTCACTCTCACCCACACACATTACATGAGTAAATTTGACTTTCAAAATAGCCTCTGATATATCGGACTTCACAAAATACCAAAACTTAGTGCCTATGCTTGAAAATTAAGGCCAATTCTTTCATATTGTGTTTGTTAATACAGTATCTTTGTCTGACAAAAGAAGAGCGCGCTCAAAACAATATAACCGTGAAACTTTTAGTAATACTAAATAGCACAATTTCATGCAATGATTCTATTGTTTTCTATTGTTTAATTAGCATTATTTTGTACTACTTAGTAATTAGTGTTTCACGGATTAATTATTTGCACTCCATACTCTCGAACTTTTTTGTATAATTGGAGAAAACAAACATTGATTTTCTCACTCAAACTCTTCAAAATTCTTAGAAAAGGTGTTTAAATGCACGCATGCGCAAAAGTTTTTTTCTTTGTGTCGGCTCTACAGGATTTTATGCGAGAATGGGCCACCGTATAAGAGGTAAGTTAGTGCACTAAATAACGATAAAAATCCGCTTTTCTTTTCAGAAATATATTCTTAGTAGATATCTAAAGTAGATTTTTGCTCTTAACTTGCCAAGAAGAGAAAATAAATGGTATTTTTTGCGCTACAATGTGAACAGCCTACGAAGTGTTTAGTCTTGTTGTTTTGCCGAATTCATGACCTCAAAACAAACCATATTTTTCCTCTTCCTGGCGAATAAAAAGCAAATATCTACTAAAGGTATCTATTAAAAACATATTTCTTGCAAGAAAATGCATTTTTCAAGAATGAAGCTTTAAAATACCTGGGTTTTTTTTCGACAAGAAGTCGTCGTTAACGTTTGTCGAGAAAACAAAACTTGCTGCATTCGTAGCTTGTACTACAGGCAACCCGGTAAGAAAATTATTGTCTACACTTCCCTAAATTTAATTCCTTTTTGTTTTCCTTATCAAAACACTTTTAGGCCTAGGGCAAACGTCGAACTTTCCATGCACCGAACTCATTAAAAACAATGGATATCAGGTGATAATGAGGCGGCATTCTTTGATGTAATTAGGTTCGGTGCATGAAAAGTTCGACGTTTGCTCTAGACCTTACATAGATTGTGCTGACTGTGTATAATATATATATTTAGGCACTGCCTAAAAGCGGAGCTCCGGATACGGAAGTCACAGGGAGAACAATTTGAATGAAACTGAAAGGTAAAAATAAGATCGGGGAAAAAATCTTCAATTATTTTTTATTCGAGATGAAGATAATTTCTCCCATAATAAAAACCATGCAGTGAAATCGAATCGAAATGCACTACATTGTTTTTTTGTTTTTTTGTTTTGCGCGAGTACATACTCTCCCACTTAGGAATTTTGTACACAACTCACCACCACTCCCAGGGGCTAGTTTTGCTCTTGGAAAATTATTCGACAAAGTTTTCCAAAAAACCGACATTTTTAGGCTTTGAATCTCTTTTACTTAAAAAAAACGAGAGATAACTACAGATAATCCAATACAATATCAAGTTTAGTGAAATTTACCTCGGATGTCTTTCATTGAAATCGAAAATCTGGAGATTTAGGACAAATCAAGACCAAAAAACAGACTTGGAAACTGGTTAAGGTGAGCAAAATATAAGCTTACTTTAATAATTACGTATTTTACAGAACGAGACGAAGTTTACATATTCAGTTAAACTTGACAAGAACAACTGAAACAAAATAGAAAATAAAGACAATGCAAAAAGGCAATGCAAAATGACGAATTTCTTTGTCAGTAAATTGGCGTTTGTAAAKTTAATGTTTTTGAATATTTTTTACGGCTTTTTAAAGTGAAAGTCTAGGTCTTTCTACAACAACATCTCTCAACAACACAAATTTAAGCTCATTTTTATAATCAGACTTGCTCGAATGTAGCTTAATAAACAGTTGAATATTTGGTGTAAATTTATATTCCATTCAAAACTTAAATAAATTATTTGAAGAAATAAAATTATTAAATGAAAGTCTTCGTTGTTTTGCCGATGGGACCCCGCGATAGGAGGCGAATCTTCCTTGAACGAAAAACATATGCGGATAGTTAGTTAAAAACAACCGAATTGCTAAAGATTTACGAAGCTAAATAAAGGACGAATATTTGTTGTAATATGCTCTTCATGTTATATTTACTCCAACATTAAAATAAATTAAGCTTATCTACAGAAATATTAAAAGTTTTGAGGGAAAGTATTTGATTTGTCGATTCGTCGAGAAAAAACAACACACCTGAATTCTTTGAATACATGAAAGTTATTTTAATTTTCTTTGGTCTATGACTTGCCCTAAAGCGATTTTTTCTGTGCATTTGAGAGTCGCCTTAGCTAGTAGTTTTGTTCAAATTCCTTTGTCTCAGTTTCACGCTCATTTTCTCTTTGTTCATCCGTGAAGTTTTGCCTCAAATTCCTTTGTCTTTCACGTTCATTTTCTCTTTGTTCATCCGTCAAGTTTTGCCTCATATTCCTTTTTCTTTCACGATCATGTTCTCCTTGTTTATAATCGAAGTCCCGCCTGGATTTGCGTTTTCTCTCTCTCTCTGCTTGCCGCTTTTCTTTGGCGACATTCCTTCGTCTTTGCCTTCCTTTTTCACGCCACCAGAGTTTTTCCTCTTCCGAAAAAAACTCTTTTACTTCTGGCCTTTCTTTTAGCTTCATTCTCCTTTGAGCTTTCTTTCGACATATCGATTTCGGAAAGGGGTTCCATCGTAAATAGAGTAAATATAAATATAAATATAAGCTTGAATAAAAAATTGTGTTGTTATCTTTCGGTATTGTAAAACGTTTTTTACAAAAGTTTAATAGTCGGATTTACCTTTATGTGTACCCGGATGTTGCAACGCGTCGACATTCCCGCCAAAAAAAAAGATAATCTAACCAGCCAATCAGGATTCTTGTGTACACGCGCGGGAGCTCCGCTAAAAATACTATTAAATGACTGGATTTTTGTTTCCCAAATTCCCCGCCTGAATAAAGATGACATTGGAATTAGCTTGACTTGAGAGTTTAATCAAGATTGGACAAATTCCAATAATAAAATTGCGATATTAAAAAAGATATATAATGCATGTGTTTGGACACTATATCTCTATGTAATTTTGGCAGTGTTTTTATGCTCATAATATTGTTAGTATATATGAACAAACGTCCTGAAACTTAGTCAATAAGTTTGTTTGCAGCTAGTCTTTCATTTAATTCGGTAATTTATTTTCTACAATACTCTAATTGTTTGATATTTTAACTAGAACCAGTCCCTTGCTTGTTTTTTTTTTTCACTAGCTAATATACAATGTAGGTGTAGGCCAGCTAAGCACCTTTATGCGATAGTTCTTTTTGTGCGTACGATAAAAACATGTATAGCATGTTAATGTAAAAAGATTTGATAAATATTTTAGAGAAGGTTACATTATAAACTCGTTCCCCATTGTCTAGTTTAACGTCTGGATATCAGACGGGAGTGCTATACATTGCCATTCAAGTCAAGGCAAAGAAGTGAATATTTAACAATGGTCTATGAGTCATTGGCTCATAGGATATTGAACATAGTCAATAGGCTATTGACTTGTAGTATGAGGGCTAGAGGTCTAATCGTTAGTTAGATTTTAGTCTAACCCTACTGAGCGGTGAAATAAATGGATAAAAAAAAGCCGGTTAAAAAGGAGAATTAGACTCCATAGTTATGGTTTTGAAACCAGCTCTTTTCGTTACTAGCGGTCTATCATCAATAGAGAAGCTCAGCCAATCAGAGCGCAGGATTCTTAATAGCTCGCTGTAGTAGCTTTAAACTAATTGCAGATAGTTTAAGGTCAACCTTATAGAGATTGCTAATTTTACGTGATTTAATTCGGAAATAAAAACTTCGTTGTGATGCGAAAGAATATCTTTCCAGGAAAAGCTTTGTCAAGGCTAGCTTTTTTGAGACTGAAATCATGTCTCCGTCCAGAGGCACTTCTTGCATAGATACCATTGGGAAGTCTTATATCTTCCTGGTTTTGTCCTGTGGTAGACGCAATCCTTGGATCGCCTTTTTCTTGGTCAATGGAGCTTGTTCTGTAAGATATATGGAAAAGGCAACGTTATTGTTCTATTATATCAACAAGAACTGACTGGAAACGAATAGAAAAAAAATAGATCAAAACAGAACCAAGAGTTTTTCGTGGACGTTTCACTCCAGAAAAAAATGAATTTACAGATCAGTTTTGAGATATTTTATTTCCCGCAGGTACCCAGAAAATATCCGCTAGCTAGCGCTGTAAAACTGCTGGCGCGTTGATCATGCACGGAATAAATCTTTCACTGGGAAATGGAGATATTTACGGCATCTTTTTCACGGTCAGGTTTCGACCTAGTCCTCCCACGATATAAAACTGGGTGAATAGCAACGACTACCCACATTTCTACCTGTTTCCTGTTTTAATGATTTGAAGACTTGACTATTTCTTTTGGTATTTTTATGAAATTGCATTGCACGACGAACTATGACAGCGAGCAGAGTTTCACAAATTGAGACTGTTTTCCAGCTAATGTTTTTGTGCTTGTGTGACATAGCAACGGTAACTAAGGGGAGTCGGAGCCAATGGGCGTACGTGAACAATGACAAACTTTGTTTTGGTTGATTGTTAATTTAAATGTTGCCAACCAGAAATCTATTGACAATCCAACAAAGAAAAGTGACAAAACCCATCGTTAAAATGGACGTAGACAATAAAGCATCACAATAGCAATGTTTATTTAAAGCAATTAATATACCCACCTACAAAAACCTGTGCAGCATGTTTTACTATGGGTTTTAAGAAATGCTTACCCTTGCAGTATAGCTTGCGGTTTGTTTGTATCCATATAACCTTTAGTTGATCTACTGCCTTGACCATATGCTTTCCTAATTTCTTCTTTTCTTTCAAGTTGATTTTCGCATCATCTATGTCCTCTTCTGTCAAGGATGGATGAGCAGTTTCGTTCCCTCTCCTTTTGACATCTGTTAGCTGTCTTATCAAAAAATCGTTCCAATTGACATCTTTCTTCAACTTTTTCCATCTTAACCTTGCTTCATTTTGTTCATGTTCGTCTTCAATTTGCGTTGAAATGTAATTTTCCATATCCTCAGTCCTTTTGTTCTGAATTTCTTCGAAATTTCCCTGCAGCACAATTTTCAAGAGATTTTGCTGAACGCTTGAACAGAGTTGCCGAATAACCAACTCATCTTCAGATAGCTCAAACATCTTTAATTTTTCATCTAAGTTTTCTAACTTTGTGTTTAAATCTCCGATTTCCTTTTCGGCTTTATTGGCTTCCTTTTTGGCATTATCATCAATTTCTTTCATTTTTTTTTCAAGGAATGCGTTGCTCTCTCCTAAGTCTCCCGTTTTCTTCTTCAATTTTTTTATTTCTTCTTTCAGGGTATTGCTTTCTTCTTTAAGTTTTTCTATTTCTTCTTTAAGTCTTTTTATTTCTTCTTCCAGATCATTGATTTTGGATTGGCAATTTTCATGGTCTTTCGTTAGTTCCTCTTCTAATCTTTTTACCTTTTCAAATAATTCATTTTGGATTCTCCTGTTTTTATTGAGTTTCGCTTTCAGCCTGCCTACGTAACTAGTATTACCTTTCTCGTCCATGACTGAAGCTGCCCTATAGATAAATGTACGAAAGTAATAATGGTATTAGAATGAAAAATAGGATTCATCGTGGTGTTGTAATAAATGATCACTTATTCGTTTGCCTCACGTGAGGGTCATAATGATAATAATAATAATAATAATAATAATAATAATNTAATAATAATAATAATAATAATAATAATAATAATAATAATAATTTATATTGAGCACCAATTCCCCAAGGTTTAACAGCGCTTTACAAATATTATATAAAAATGGATAATTTAAAAGGATCATTAGGAAAAAGTTATAGTAAGTAAATTAAGTAAAGTAAATTAAGTTAAGTACTATATAAGTGATTAATAATAACTTCAATACTGAATTTTGCTACATAAAAACATTGTCAATTACTTTGGAAAAGAGAAATTAATCAAAGGTTTGCCTAAAAAGCCATGTCTTAACATTACTCATAAAAGCAATATCTAATGTTATGTGGAAGGGCATTTCATAGTTCAGGGGCTGCATAAGAAAAGCTTCTTTTGCCATAGGATTTTAGATTATAAGAGAGGGAACATAGGGTTCAACCAAGTCACATAGATATATGGGCGCTAGGTTGTGTAAGGCTTAAAAACAATTCGTTGTTCCACGGGCAGCCATTGGTGATTGTACAAGATTGGGGTAATATGATCTTGCTTCTGAGAAAAGGTTACAAGTCTTGCAGCAGCTTTTTGAGAGAGCCCTTGGGAAGTCCATATAACAAGGAATTACAAACATCAATTTCGCGACCAATCAGGGCGCGAGATTTTCAATAATCACCTCAGTGTTTATTTTTACTAAATGTGAATAGTTTATTGATTATGAATATTATTGTTTATTGATCATTGTTTATAGTTTTTATATAGTTAGATTTAATAATTCTATTATTAACTTGTTCAGCCTTAGTCGATTCGAAACCAGCACGTTTTGCAGCACAGTATTTCTAATAAAGGCCGTAGATAGTATTCACATTACGTCATCAGAAAGCTAAAATCAAAAGTATTATTCATTACACAAAACCGTTTGTTGGATATTTTGATATTTCAAAGTGTTGGATCGATTAAAGTTCGCTGTTAGACTTAGCAGTAAGAGTTTCAGCTTACATTTCATACTGCGCCAGTTATGAACAATAAGAAAGAGCCAAGACACAGGCAAACGGTTTTAATATCCCCTTGGTAAAACTTGGTAAACAACCGAGATGAACATCGAAACTCGAAGGAACAAAATGACCGGCTGATGTCGGTCACATGACTAACTATAAGTACCGCTGACCGGTACTGGCGCTGTAAACTTGGGCAACAATTTGTCCCAAAATCGGCAGAGTACGTACCAAACTCCTGAGTCATATTAAGCTCCCTCGTGGTTTTGATTATCATTTTCCATGATTCTGCCAAGAAAACCAACGAAATATAATTTCTTCATTCTTTGAATTGATTGTAAATGGTAGTCGAATTCTTCATTCATTTATTTATTTTATTTATCCAACTTTGCCTCGAGTTCCGAAAATACGAAAAACAAAAACGTAGTAGTAGTTTTGAATTAAGGAGCATGTAAGTTATCGTAACGAAATAGTTTTAAAATATGCCGACTGCATGGATGCATGACAATAGATCATTGGTCTCAAGATAAGACACTGTCTGAGAAGACATAATATTTGAGATTCGCAAAATCTGTTTCGGCGCCGTCAACGAGAAGTTTAAATTACTTCATTCATGAACACTTTGCGTTTCGAGTCTTTATGATCTTTTTTCCCTGTGGACGAGTAGAGTAGCCTGCAAAGTAGGCGTTCTTGTGAGTTTAGGAAAAAACCGATGTTTTGGGAGAACTTTGGAAATTTGGAATAAGCGAGAATTAAAACAGAGCAAAAAAGAAGCAAAGGGGGAGGGGGAGGGAAGGGGAAGAAGGGAACGCCTGCCAGCAGCCTTTGTTATTTTGATAAACGCCTCCTACTATATAAATATGCGTGATCGAATCTCTAGCTTTAAAAAATTAAAAGTAACCAATCACGATTGAAGATGAATTTAACGGAAGTGAAAGACAACTTCTGATATAAACAATCAAACTTCAAAACATTAAAAATTATATAGCGATTCTATGACCGCTACCTAGCGCAAATGAAAATTATCCCTGTTTTAAAAGGTTGATTAAATCGATACGCTAATGATTCAGAGATCAGATCGGGGAATTCCATAAGAAGTTTGGCAGATATATTATCAAGGCCAGTTGCAAATTTCGAAAACTTATTTAAGGTGGCTTCAAATAGTTTCGGGCTTTAGAGTAACAGAACTAGAAATTATTTTATAGCAAAACAGATCTATATCTTGATATCTGATACGCTAACCACTTAAGACTATGAGTTTAGGAATCATTTTTCGTGAAAATGATCACGTGAATAGTTACCATAGCATCGACATGTCAGCCCCTCGAGTTTTCCATGGTCAATCTTTTTTAGACTTTGTAATATGAAAGTTTGTTTGGTTACCTATTACATGACAGCGTTTTATTAMAATCGTGACTACAGAAACCAAGATATTAAAAGAATCGATTTTTCAAGATAAAAAATTTTCTGTAGTCTAAATATTTTTTATATTGCGTCAGTTGCATTACCATTCTGCGATGAAGAAAAATATAGAATTTTAAAGACATTTGACCATGTAAAAGCCTATTTTACTCACTGTTTGCCCACTATACTTGCCCAGTTTTTTTATTTAAAAATGAAATAAGCTATAATCGAACTATGTTCAACAGCAACGGTAGTTTCCAAATCGACATACCAGTGGAGATATAGGAGTTCTAGATTCACACTGTTTCAAAAGTTCATAAATATACCTATACGTATGGGAGTCGTTTGAGAAACCTTTTAAAATAATACAAGGTTTTACTATGTATAATGAAAGAGTAGAAATCAAGGTTTTAATTTTGATAACGATATCTTTTAAAAATTATAAATATTAAATTTTTTTTCTAGCGTCATAAAAGCAGTGCTTGAACGGCGTTGTAACCGACCCAAAATTGACCATCCCCCTGAACTTTGCCTTTAAAACGTTTTTGCGCAAAAAATTATCCATCTTGTCAGTTAGGACCCCAAACCAAGTTTATATACCAAATTTGAGCAAAGTCCATAAAGTTTACTGGCCGGCTTCTCTAAATTTGCTCCATCCCTACGGACTAAATATTACTTTAATTCGCAAGTTGCGCAGCCACATAAGTCCCGTGACCGATAGATTTTCTCATAACTCGGCAGACAGAATTATGACAACCTATTTCAAATATATTTTCCCCAAAAGGTTATCCATTTCGTATTTAGGACCCCAAACCACGTTTATGCACGATTTGAGGAGCAAAATCCGTGAGGTGGCCTGGCCGGCCTATGTTTGAATGTTACAGAGTATGACTCTTAAAAGCGTTTTATTATACATCCATATCCATATTTTGAAATTAGCGAATTACTTTAGATTTTCTCCAAACTCATCAGACAAAATCATGACAATCTATTTAGTACCAAGAATCTAAAATTCCATGAAAATAAATCGATTTTAAGCGAACAAAAAGATACTATTGTAAAAGACCACTGTAAGGAAAATCGACCCTTAACGTTTGACAAATGATAAATGTTTGAGCTACTATAATTTAGGAATATCCGATAGTTTTTGACTTGATACGAGCGGTTAAAAAATTGCTAGATTTATGCTGGAGTCACCTTAATTAAGCTAGGATAACCTATTGAGAATGTTAATAAAGTTTGTGTTGTGTTGGAAGAATAAATGTAACTTACCAGTGTAGCTAAGATCACAGTATAGAGGATAGTTTAAGGGGTTGACGGATGAAGTTTCAGTTGTGTCTGTAGCTACTTTCGCAGACGCTTAATGATTTATTTTCTAGAGGATCTAATGAGGCCGTCTTTCTTATACAAAAAAATATATCCATTGTTTTATCTCCCAGAACAATTCCTTTTAATCAAGGAGCTCAGTACAATGGGTCTATACGTACGTAATGTTTTTCAAAATAATAAGTCTTAAGTTTATTGTCAGGTATTGAAATAGTTCAAAATTAATAATAACCACCAAGATATTTCAAAATTTTATAGCAACTCTATGGTGGCCCATTGTTATCATAAGAAAAAGGCTTAGGGTTAGAGAAAAAAAGTAAAAAAATATTTTTAAAAAAAGAAGCGAAGAAATTTGCACAAAAAAAATAAAAATACAAAAATTTAAAACATTAAAAAAGAATTCAAAAAATTAAAAAACAAAAACACAAAAAGAAAACCTAAAAATATATATATAACATAGAAAAATATAACAGAAAAATAAAAATAATTACACATGAAAAGAAATAAATAAAAAATGTAAAAAATAATTAAGGAATAAAACATGAAAAAAATAAAAATAAGTACACGTAAAAATAAATAAATGAAACATTGAATAAAAAAATTTTCAAAAATAATAATGATTAAAAAAATAAAGCGTTGAAAAAAGTTGGGGAAAAAAAAGATAAATAAAAAAGTAAATAAAAAAATTAATAATGAAAAAAAAAAAAGAGTCGTAAAAAAATGAAACTAAATAATAAAAACAAAGCATTGAAAGAAAAAGAAGATGGCGTCCAGGATCCGGAATTATGACTGTAAAAAATGACGAAAATCTCAAACTCGATTTAGAACGCTACGTCTTACAAAAGTTAAAAAACGTTTTTAGAAATACGTTTTTAAGAAATGTATATAAAATCGTTAAGAATAAACAGCTGGTTACTTTTTATTACAACGTAAAGTAACACGATTGAAGCTTATGAATCATTTCATTATGAAATAAAATAGAATTCAGAATATTCTCTTACCAGTGATGTAAACTTTCCACTAGCACCTCTTCTTCTTTTCTTTTTCCCCACATCACCACGTCGTTTTAGCCCTTCTGGGTCTACTTTTGCCATTACATCATAAACTAAGTTACGTGGCACTGCTAGTTTGTGTTGTTCTCTTGTTAGCTTTTTGTGCATGCCACGGTATCCCAACAACTGTCTTGGCCCTTCTAATTCCTCGAAAACAACTCGCTCAATTTCCTCGACCGTGGTTTCATACTTCACGTAACTTATGCTTAAAAAGCCATTCTTCGGCTAAGAGTTACGAGACTCCATGCGTACTCTGGAAAGTCTCTTTTAACGAAATCTAAAACTTCACTTCGCCTTAACTTTTGTAAGACGTAGCATTCTGATTGGAAACAAACCCAAGTTTGTCGGGGTAGGGGAATTTGTTCGAGCGTGGTATTACGTTCGGCCAATCTGAATGCAGTATGTAACATGATCCACTCACGCTTTACAACTGCCGTTTGAACACCATCGATCACACGCTGTAGAAGAAATATAATATTCGACTTGAAGCCAGGGTTTTTCTGGAAATATTTGGTGTGGTGGCATTTAGAATACATGTCATAAAAGAGACATTATCGTTTCTTTGACATGTTGCATTTTTATTGCGGTTCAAGGGGAGAGAAATTTTTTTTTTTGGATTTTCTAGCGTGATGTAGTCGATATCGGGTGCTAAGTCTCCAGCCTTCCCATTATTAAGGTAGAGAAGAGCGGATTTTGAAAATATAACACTAAACGGCCTCAAATCGCGGTTAAACTTCGCCAGAAGACGGAACAAAGTAAAAGCAACAACTGCAGCAAGTTTCGAAGCAAATTATTGAGTGAAACATTTTATTTTCGTAACTTTATCATAACTCCCATACATTACCTTATAAACCATTCACAGGAACCTTGTTTGGACTGCCTGTGAGTCGAGGAAACAAATCTTGCTGCATTCGTAGCTTGTACCACAGGCAACCCAGTTAGAAAATTATTAGGTCTACAAGTCCCTAAATTAACTTCCTATTTGTTTTCCTTATAAAACACTTTTACATAGCTTGGGCTGACTGTGTAAAAAATGTTGCTTCTTGGCTTAGGATCTATCTATTTTAAGATCCTGGATATTTTGACCACAAAAGAAAAAGGAAATTGATTTCTTTCGCTAATTTATTACTGAAAAACTGATTTAAAAAAAAATTTCAATCCTTGATTACGAAAAGCTGTGCTTACAACTATGTAAGGGGGCAAGCATTAAGACCCATCATACAAGCACTGTCGCCGCTTGGTAGAGTAGGTGACAAGTTGAACCAAGTCCTGTTTTTTTCTGTCTTTAAATGATTAATTTTACTGTACGTGCCAGTTTACATCTAAATAGTTTGATGTATCTTGCGCAGGGACCCCAGAGCCTGCGGGGCTATAGCCACTCTCCCAATGATTTTGCCGCCATTTTTGAATTATTCGCTTATGATTTTTGGGCTTTATTCGGAAGCTATTTTTGAAATCATCAAGAAACAAAAGAAATTTAAAAATGAACTGGACTATTAAGGTTTCCTTGCCCTGCTTAACGTTCCCTAAAACAGCCCCATGATGCAACACGTTCTGCAAGTCGGAAAGGGTAAGAGAAAACGGCAATAGAACATGCAATTTTTAAAATAATTTTATTTCAGTGATTGTGATTACATTCTGTACACCCAATCTTGATCTTTTAATTATCTAATTCAAACTTCCAAGGCCGTTACATAAAAATATGGTACACGTAACTAAAAATACTATTAATTGACTGGATTTTTGTTTCCCAAATTCCCCGCCTGAATAAAGATGACATTGGAATTAGCTTGACTTGAGAGTTTAATCAAGATTGGACAAATTCCAATAACAAAATTGCGATATCAAAAAAGATATATAATGCATGTGTTTGGACACTATATCTCTATGTAATTTTGGCAGTACTTTTATGCTCATAATATTGTTAGTATATGAACAAACGTCCTGAAACTTAGTCAATAAGTTTGTTTGAACCTGGTCTTTCATTTAATTCGGTAATTTACTTTCTACAATACTCTAATTATTTGATATTTAAACTAGAAGCAGTCCCTTGCTTGTTGTTTTTCACTAGCTAATATACAATGTAGGTGTAGGCCAGCTATAGCTAAGCACCTTTATGTGATAGTTCTTTTTGTGCGTACGATAAAAACATGTATAACATGTAAATTAAAATCGAAAATATAATTGATGAATATATTTAGAGAAGGTTACATTATAAATTGTGCCCCTCTGTCTAGTTTAACGTCTGGATATCAGACGGGAGTGCCATACATTGTCATTGACAATTAAGTCAAGGCGAAGAAGTTATGTTTTAGTCATAGGCAATAGGCAATAGGTCTAATCGTTAGTTAGGTTTTAGTCTAAACCTACTGAACGGTGAAATAAATGGAGTAAAAAAGGGTTAAAAAATCGAATTAGACTCCATTGTTCTGGTTTTGAAACCACCTCTTTTCGTTACTAGTGGCCCTATCGCCAATAAACAAGCTCAGCTAATCAGAGCGCAGAATTTGTGATAGCTTATTGTAGTGTTTTAAACTAGTTGCAGATAGTTTAGGGTCAACCTTAATCATGATTGATAATTTTACATGACTTAATTCGGAAGTAAAACTTAGTTGTGGTGCGAAGAGTTTCAATCGAAAGAATATCATTTCAGAAATAGCTTTGTTAAGGTAAAAAATTATCTTAACTAGCCCCACTATAGTGTCTTTTTTGAAAGGCAGGCCGTGAAAAAGATTGCATTACTTGTTTGGGACCGAAACAATCTCCCGGTCCTCCAGCAGCCTTGCTTGCATAGGTACCATTGGGAGGCCTTATATCTTGACAGTTCTGTCTTGTGGTAGCGGACACAGTCCTTGGACCGCCTTGTTCTTGGCCCACGGAGCTTGTTCTGTAAGATACATGTTAAAGGCAACGTTATAGTTCTATTATACAGTATATCATTCATTCATACATACGTTCATACATACATACATACGTACATACATACGTACATACATACATATATACATACATACATACACACACACACACACA